CGAAACCCCCTAAAAACACCTCAACCTTGCAGTCCCGAATCCCGGAACCGTATACAAACCCTCAACGTCTAAACACCAAAGCCCTCCCGCTTGGAGTTTAGCGTTTAGGGTTTAGGGTTTAGCGTTTAGGGTTCAGGGTTTAGGTGTAGAACCTATGCAATCCTTTCTTCTTTGACTTCTTTGCGGCTGAAAGCAATGTTCTTTTGTTCGGAGTGCCATCCCGCAACGCCCGAACCTCCAGATGCCTAATATAGGGGCCTATGGTGCAATAGGGTTTTAGGGGGGGGTAGATTATGGCATGATTACCGGAAGGAACCCCTAAGGAATAGTTTGGGCAACTATTCCCATCGCTCTATGTCTTATCAACAGGCCGGAACGATGGGTGAAACACAAGCTTCTAGACAAAGGCCTTGTCATACAGCTGATGGAACAAAAACCCTGCATTACCCTTCATGGGACTATGCCAGAACTCCTCAATGTCCTCAACCCTAAATCCCAAGCCTTACCACCGACACACTGAACTAGGTGAGGCAATGCAAGACTTTGTCCATCAGGAGTACATGGCCCTGGGTTACCCCCCAAGCTTCGTTTTTCAGACCTAGAACTTTACAGGGTTTAGAGATTTGCTTTTAGGGTCCAGGGTTTGGGCTTTAGGGTTTGGGAATTTGGGTTGCGTTTAGGATTTAGGGGTCAAGGTTTTTGCCTCAGGGTTAGGATCTGATCGTACTTCTTCTTTTGTGCATTGGTTTCTTGGCTGACTTCTGAACCCCTCCAAAAAGTTAAACTTTTAGTCTCCTTATTATAGTTATATAGAAACCCAAAAAGTTAAAGTCCTAAGAGCCAACCAGAAGAACACCAAGGTTTTGTGGTTGTGAGGCTTAGGGCTTATGGGTTAGTAGAGGGATGTAAAGATGTATGCAAGACTGTAACCAGCGACGTTAACCGGAGGACCTAAACCCTAAACCCTAAAAAACCCTAACCCTAAACCCTAAACCCTAAAACCCTAAAACCCTATGCGGGTCTGAGGGCTCGGGGGCTTTGGCAGCTAGACCCAAGACCGGATGAACTCGAACCGAATTAAACGAAAAAAATCCTCCCTGCCTTGACCCTAAAGTTTAGGGTTAAGGGTTAAGGGTTTAGGGGTTTAGGGGTTTAGGGTTTAGGGCTTAGGGTTTAGGGTTTACTACAGCTAAGCCGCTTCAACAGAGGGTGGTCTATTCATTGGGGGTCTACATTCGCTTATGAGTGTCGGGCTTCGGGAGCACCAGCAGCACAAGCTAAAACGCCCAAAGCCCAAATGCTCGACGATACTCGAAGAGGAAATGCCAAACACCGACTATGAACGGGGAGGAAACACAGCTGCCGTTGACTATACTTCCCCTAACTCCTAAACCCCTAAACCCTAAGCCCTAAACCCCAATAAGCTGCCAGACCCCAAATTCTAAACCTCAAGAGCCAAAATCCTCTGAAACACCTTACACCCCCAAGCCCTAAACTCCGAATCCCTGAACCCTACACCCCTACAGCCCCCAAGCGGCCTTTCCACAACTATACTCCTTTTGGGTGCTTTGGGATCATATCATGGGGTTATGCTGAGATGTGACCTTGTGAAGCTTACAGCGCTCTCTTATCTGGGTGCCAAACACACTCTCTGAAATCATTTGGAGGTACGAGCCCCTAAACCCTAAACCCTAAATTCCTGAAGCTTCTTGCTTAGGCTCCCCTAAACCCTAAACCCTAAACCCTAAACCAGGCTCCTAGATCCATGAAAGCATTAGGTAAGCACGTCAAGGGGGTAACCCCCTCTTAGGAAATCACCTGCCGTGCGTTTGGGAGTCTCAGTCCAGAGGCCCTTCCTGAGGTTGGTAGGTTTAGGGTTTAGGGTTTAGGGTTTAGGGTTTAGGGTTTAGGGTTTAGGGTTTAGGGTTTTGTCGCTACTGAATTTGTTGATAAACGAACCCTATAAACGCCTTTCACCCTGCCAAAAGCCCCCAGTAACCACCACTGAATTTGCTTAAACCCTAAACCCTAAGCCGCCTCTGAATTTGCTTATGTAATTGGTCGTCGGAGAAGGCTTCGGGGAAAACTTGCTGTCAGAAACTCGCTGGGGGATCCGATTGACCCCGAGCAACCCTCCCGCCCATTCAACAGGCTTCGTGTGAGAGCCCTACTAATTTGACTGGTCTAGGAGCCTTAACAATTTCAACAGGGCTTTGGGGAATGTTATACTATAATCATAATAAGGCGCCCCAATATAACATTAGTGATCATTTAGACTTCTATTTATATATTTGGATTCTGTCAGGCCTATGTCCGTTAGCATCAAAATAGCCCAGAAGCCTCATATAATGGGGTCTTTGGGCCCCAACAGCCTTAGATATGAGTCCTTTGATGCCAAGTGTAGCAGTTGCTTTAAGAGTCTTCAACCCCCACAAGAGCAGGCGTGTGGGTCGCCCCTGCGGGTTCTAGAAGCGCTGCTTGAACCCTAGAAACCGGGTTTAGGAAGGTTTACGGTTTAGGGTTTAGAGTTTAGGGTTTAGGGCTAAACCCCTAAGGCTACTATCAGTAGCAGACAGTTTTTTTGTTCAGGCGGGCTCGATGGTTTGGCTTTATCGGCTTTCGTGTTTCAGGCTTTTGTGGTCGGGCTTCTCCTTTCTTTCGGGTGCGAGCCTGAGCGCTGTAGGGATTGAGGTAAAGGCACTTTCGTACTTGCAATGAACGTAGGATCAAGGCGGGGGAAGGCTGCGAAGAGGTTAAGGGTACTATCAGGGAGCCACGAAGGGTGTTATCGGGGTTTTGTACGGCTTGGTGGTTTAAAATTCTTGGTGTTATGAGGCATGTGGGTTAAGGGTTTACGGTACTTGTGGTACGGTTGATGATACAAATCCTGCATTACCCACAATACGGGATGTACCGTAATTGCCATAGTTTCGGGTCCTGAAGGTAATGCAGGATTTATATCATCAACAGTAGTAGGGCCATAAGTACAGCAGTACTTAGGATACATGGACACTGAACATCCAAGCCCCCTAAACCCTAAACCCTAGACCCTAAACCCTGAACCCTAAACCCTCAAGCAAAGCAAAGCACAGGGAATACCTAAAGCCCTTGGAATCGAGCCTTGGGCTGACGGCTTAGGGCTTTCAGGTCTTACCTGGGAATCCAAAAACCTACCGTTTTAGGGGTTCTACCCTCTAATTAAGGGGTCATAACCTACTATTTTGTAGGGTTTGGGGTCACAGGTAGGGTATTGGCAGTTGGGCTTTCCTGGACCCCTCAAGTCCACCCTCTTAGGGTTTAGGATTCGGATTTAGCGTTTTAGGTGGAGCCTGGTTGTCAACCCTGGAAAACAAGTTGGAACTCTGTCTTACAAGGGCTTGGAGTGTCTTGCGCTTTGGAAGTACGATCTAGGTATTCTAGTTGAGGGTTCGAATCTTTATGCCTTGCAGTCGACACCAATCTCTTCGCCCATTTTGTAATCTGCCAGTTCCAGACAAGCAAGAGCCATGTATGGAGCCCAACAGAGGGACGATCCTTATTTGAGGACCCTTCACGAACCACGAAAACCACTCGCCTTTCGTTACGGAATTTGCCTGCACGCATCACAGGGAGTCCTCATGGTTCTCACATGGTCCCCTTTTTGGGTCCCCAAGATAGTACGGCACCATTACAAAAGGACTCCAGAAGGGACCCTAATTTAGAGAACTGCCCATATACAGTGCGCAAAGATTTCCCTCTTATAGTATGGCACCCTTACAAAAAGGACCCGAACAAGGACCCTAATTTAGAGAACTGCCCATATACAGCGCACAAAGATTTAAGGCAAGCTCCCTATTTGTGGCAGATCGCGCTCTCCGAGCACCCGTTAACCCTAGACCCTAAGCTCGAAACTCGAAACCCCGACCCTAAACCCTAAACCCTACACTCCAATCCCAAACCCTAAACCCTAAACCCTAAACCCTAAACCCTAAACTCAGGTTTCGGGTGTTGCTTTACTCGGGGTTTGCGGTTGAGGGCAGCCGGGTTTAGGGTGTTGGGCACCCGACCCGAACACCCAGCGATGCCCCAGCGCTTTGCTTAGATCCCGCTGTACTCAGATGCTGTCCTGCTAGGGCTTTGGGGTGCTTGTTCCTTAGGGTTAAGGATTTCTTCTTCTTCTTTAACTTCAGGCTTTTTGGTCAGGCTTTCTTGAAGAGCTTAGGGTTAGTCGAATTTTAAGGCGGGCTTGACAAGGTTACAGACGGTTCTGATGCTTAGTCGTTTGCTTTAGGTGCTTGCTTGGTTGCCGATGGGTTTCGGGATTTTTCTCGTGCCAAAGCAAATATTTAAAAAGTCAACAAATAGAGGGTTCTGTAACTTCCTTCGTCGTTCGCTGTTGGAATGCGAAAATACAAGGATGGGAACAGGAATTACGGCCGACTTTGGGTGCATGTGTGTGTATGTATACCTTAAGAACCCAAAACCTACTTTTTTGTAGGGTCCCTATAAATCCCATATTAGGGTCTATAGTAAAAACCTACGAAACAGTTGGTTGTTGGGTTCTTAAGGTATATTTATTTTTGTACTAGGCGCCCCTCATGTGAAGCAGACCCAACTTCTGCAGTTCCGCTCACATCCGCAGACCCTTGCAAGAACGTGCGTGCAACGCCGCCCGGGCAACCGCGAGCCCCCTATAGATTCAGGGTGAGGCTAAAGAACGCCTGTGGACTGGGTTTAGGGTCTAGGGTCTCTCTGTCAACACAGAGGTCAAAATGCAGAACAGCTAGAAAATCCCAATGAAGAAGCCTGAAAAAGCAAAACAGCGTGCTAAGGTTCGGCAGTTGTTCCTGAACAACAGAACAGGCCGCACTGAAGGCCCACCTACATACGTAGCTACCTCCGTCCTTCTATTCTGTAACCTAAATAACCCGAAACCCCCCACCTTAAACCTGCCCTAAACCCTAAACCCTAAACCCTGAAACCCTAAACCCAAAAGACTCCCTTCAAGCTGAGGTCAAGGCGACGTCACGGAAGCCCTCCTGCCAAAGCGATTGCACATCATTACACCACATAGGCTAAGGAAATACTGGACCCTACTACAGACCCTGAAACGAAGGATCCTTCACGTAAGTATTCCCCCAACACTAAGCACATCTCCACGTTTGGGCTGAGTTGCTTGGTTGTTGGGTGCAGGCTGCGCAAAATCTGAACCCTAACGACCCAAAGTCTAACAGTGCAGAGCCCAGAAAGCTCGTACAACATACTTCTGCGTTGGATTTTGCTGTTCCCACAGTTTGTGGCATGTCGGTGTTGTATTGGTACACTGGCAGCTATCACTAGTTACTACCCAGTAGCATTGTATCATCCAAATACTACTTGCGCCACCTAGTTGTTTGCAGTCTGCCACAAACTCTCTTTAGTCGTTACGGGTCGCAGCCCTAAGCCCTAAACCTTACACCTTGAAGCCCTAAGCCCTAAACTGTAAACCTTAAGCCCTAAAGCCCTAAGCCCTAAACCTTAAACCCTTTTGCCCTAAGCCCTAAGCCCCAAACCCAAGTCTCGACTTCGCGAGTCGAGTATGTAGGCTTCAAAAGCGAGGCGCATTATTGAGCAATCTAGGGTTTAGCTTCGGGCTTAGGTACTCTATCCCTAAGCTGCGAAGTCTGAAACCTAAACCCACCCTAAACCCCTATAAACCTCAAACCATCTTAAACCCGAAGCCCTAAACCTTTTGAGGCATCGAGCGAAAAAGGGTTTACAAATGCCCACCTGATCCTCCATGTACCGCCAGCGCCTCCCAGGGATGTGGGTAGATCTCTAAACTAGGGTCCCTTGTACTTTTAAGTCCCCCAAATAGTATGGCACGCTTATGCAAGACCCTAAAAGGGATGTCAGATTCGCGCCCAGAGTCCACTGCACGCGCAATATGCGTGCATGCATGCAAAAAAGCAAACACCCTGTATTAAATTGATGCGCTGGGGCCCCATATCCCTAAACTCTAAACCCTAAACCCTTCCCTTATCATGAGTCCTTGCTGTCGGTTGTTAGGCACCGAACTCAGAGGTTTTGCAGCAACTTAGCCTAGTTCAGCGGGTTTTCATGGAGCAATGTGGCTTCGGACTCTTTCGTATGTAGTTTCAACGCCCTACACTCTTAATCTGCTATCTGCGGCCATTGTTGTCGTGCTTGGATCAGAGTCTGCGCTTTATGTTTTGGGGATGCCCATGCTGACGGGTTTACCCATAGCCCCCATACTAGTTCCTTTTTCCGATTACCTAGTAGGATTCTAAAACGAACCCCAAAAAAGAACTACTATTATGGGGCCTATGGGTAAACCCTAAACCCTATACCCTAAACCCTAAACTCTATACCCTAAACCCTAAACCCTTAACCCTAAACTTAGGGCCTAGGGTGTAGCTACAACGGTACCTACTGAACCGGACATCCGCCAGGGCCTCACGCAAAACCAAGCGAGGGGCGCAACGAGTGCCAGAATGCCCACACCTCAGTGGCTCAGCCCGTAGGGTGCACCTATTGCGACTATTGTTAATGCTTGTGTTGCTACGTTTTCCCCTTATGGCAGTATGATTAGTGTCCTACTACCGAAGACTGTCTATACGAGACTGCTTGTGCTTTATAATACGACTGCATACCGAGTATAGCACTTTGATTGTTTCTACTGGACTAGGACTGTGAAAGCAAGTGCAGTGCATCGACGAAAAGAGCTTTGGGCAACGCCGACGTTCAAAAGAAAAGACTACGACACCCGCGCTGCACTTCGTCTTCAATCAAATAAGGAACCGACTAATCCTCAAAAGCGGACGCAGCAGCAAACTGAACAACAAAAACGAAAAAGCTCTCGACTCGATGTTTCGCATCTGGCTATCAAACAAAATCGGAAAAAGGCTTGGGGGGCTCATCTCTTGGTGTTTTTCAGGGTATGGTTAATTATAGGGATTATAGGGGTTAGGGTTTAGGGTTTAGGGTTTATGGTTATAGGGATTATAGGGGAATGCTCTTGCTAACAGTTCAGAGCCCAATCTCCTTAAAAAGGTGGGCCATACGGTTGATGGACAACATCCTGCATGACCTTTTTTACCTAAACTATGGGATTTATGGTACTATATTATATTTGGGTCATGCAGAATTTTGTCCATCAACAGTAGTTTTGGCTCGGGCTCCTGAGCATAGAGAACCCATGTCCATCCCGTAAAAAGTCCCTACCTAGACCCCCCCCAACTACCCTCTAATATGTACTAAAGGCCCTAAATTACTGTTAAGGACCATAACCCTTAGCATCAAAATAGGCCAAAAGCCTTACATAACAGGGTCTTTGGGCCCAAAAGCCTTAAAATATGAGTCCTTTGAGGGTAAGGGTAATGGCTAAAGGGGCCTTGGGGGGTCCTGGTATAAGGCTTCTTGGGGCCGGACCCTTGCTGGAACTGAGGTACGGACTCACACCCAGAAACGTCATCCGGTGGCCAGCCACGAAGAAGAATATCACGAGCCAAATCTTAGTGGCTATTCTGGGTTTAGGGTTTGGGGTTGAGGGTTTCGGGTTTACAGTGCTTGGCGCGCAGGTGGGTTCGGCAAACCTGTTACTGAAGAAAGAGCATCTGCAAGCGCAGAACCGTGTGACGATGTAATGCAGCTCACCGTAAAAGAATGCATGGACATATCACATCCACGTGTATCGCACAGGCTTATACTGGCATGATATGACCGAATCGGACGTCTAGCTGTGCTAGCTTCTTCAACCCAGTACGACAGCGTCTAAAATGGGCAGAACTCAAGCTGACTCTTCTTCTTGCATTAGGCCCTACAGCCTAAATCCCGCAAACCTAAACCCCGACGTACCCTGAACCCGTAAATCCCTAAACCCTAAACCCTATAAGCCCTTTAAGCCCTAAACCCTAAACCCTAAAATCCCTAAACCCTATAAACCCTAAACCCAAACCCCGAACCCCAGACCCCAAAATCCTTCAGCGTGGCCTCTGCAGTTTCCGCACCACTCGGTAACTGCTGGGCTTGTGGATTTGTCCTCTAAGGGCATTTAGGAGGAGACTACCTGGCTTTATAAGGAGTATAAGAGGACTATACAATGGTGATTTAAGGTAATGGGATTAAGGGTGCCTATTAGGGGTCCCTCCTAAAGTCCTCAGATATCCGATGCGTGGAGCCGGGGGCTCGGCTAAAAAGCCGAAGACGGCCACGATGGCAAGTCGAGTTTTACACCTCACAGGGCAGTTTCGGATGTAGGTTTACGCTTAGGGCTTTGGGTTTAGGAATTAAAGTTTAGGGACCTTAACCCCAAATAACCTACCCTTTTTAAGGACTTGTATAAGGAAATAAGGGTACGGTAAGGAGCCCTAAAAAGGTAGGTTCTTCAGGGTCCAGGTAGGGCTCTCCTAGACCCCCAAACTGCACGACTTAGGACCCTCAGGGCTCTATCAACGGGCTCTTGGGGTGTCCAGGTAAGGTTTCACCCTAAGCCCTAAACCCAAGGTCAAGCTTAGGACCAATCCAAACCGATCGGAGGGCTTAGGGCTTCGGGCTGTCGATTTCAAGTTCATAAGACCCCGAACAGTGTAAAGTTTGAGTCTTATAGGAGATGGTATAGCCGAAAATGTAAAGTGTACCCACTCAGCTACCAAGGAATGATTAAGTCTACACCGATCTGCTACAAGTACTGCGCAGAGTACTCACGTCATTTCTTGACTTGCTCTGCGGTGGTTCAGGGAAGTTTGGGTGCAGTCTCTCTCCCACATCACAGCAGTCACAACCCCTAAGCCCCCTAATTAAGCCCTAAACCCAAAACCCTATACCCCTTACCCCTTATGCACGAACTCCACTAGCTCATGCGGGGCAACACCCCTTTCGACTTTTCGGGTTGAAAGGCCTTGGGGTTGTCTTGCTGCAAGGTTCCGGTTGATGGGCCTAGTCCTGCGAAGGATTCCTCTTTTTGACTTCCATAAGAGTTACCACAAGGGCTGAATATAGTGGATTTAAGAAAAATAGAAATGGGTTTTGGGGTGTATTCTATGCTGCCTAAAGGAACCCGGAGGAGTTGTGGTACTTGTACTTCTTCAGGCCGTTCTAGTATCGATGTGAGTAGGTCCCAGACTGCGAAGCCCCCAATAAGACACCAGAAACCTGATAGAGGTTCCAACCCTCAACACAGAATTGAAGCTTCTAAACCCTAAGTACACCGTCAATGACCCTACACCGATTCCTATACAATACCAAAACCCTAAAGCCCTAAAGCCCTAAACCCCTAAAGCCCTAAACCCCTAAACCCTAAACCCCTAAACCCTAAACCCTAAACCCCTGAAGCCCTAAAACCCTAAACCCTGAACCGCTAGAC